GGTTGATTCTTCCATGTGCCCTGATCAGGGATCAAAGCCACAACACTTGGGTGTATTGGGGTGATTCTCTAACAAACTGAGCTACCCCACCAGGGGAAGAGAGGTAGTTCTTTTAGAAGAGTCCTATCTGAGTTACCAAATTTGTTACCAAACTCAAGGGGTTCGCCACTTAGAGTGTTCCATTAGACGTGGCTGTTGTTAGGTGGTTTTATTTACTTACAAGTGAAAGAGCCTTAGCTGTGTAGCTCGGTTGTTTAGAGTGTCCTCCCCACATGCTGAGCATATACAGGGCACACAGAATCAGCCAAGGAATGCATAAATAAGTGGGACAACAAACTGATATCTCTCTCTCCCCCTTCCTTTCTCTAAAATCAATAAACTAAAAACAACAACAACAAAAGCAAGTAAAGGAGATGGGATTCCCATCCAAAGGGAGGCTGAGCCATTGCTTAGGTACACTATTTGGTTAATTATTGGGTTGGCCAAAAAGTTCATTTAGTTTTCTGTATCATGACTTTAGTAGTGCTTAGTTGTCTTTAACTTCATTTGAAACAATTTTGTTAGATTGTATTGTGACAGCTATCATATCATCGTGCTTTTTTTAAAAACATAAAAATTGGCGAAGTTTTGTACAGCCATTTTAATATTGAAGATGGAAGAAAATATGCAACATTTTCTGCAAATTATGCTTTATTACTTCAAGAAAGGTAAAAATGCAATAAAAAGATTTGTATAGTATATGGATAAAGTGCTGTGACTGATTGAACAGTGTCAAAGTGGTTTGTAAAGTTTCTTGGCACTATTGACATTTTGGCCAAATAATTCTTTGCTGTGGGGCTGTCTTACACATTGGAAGATGTTTAGTAGCACTCCTGGCCTCTACCCACTAAGAAGCTAATAGTGGGAAATAGCCGACATACTCAAAATAATAAAATCAATAAAGTTATTGGTGAAAATGAAAAATGTATCTTTTATTTTACAGAAAAAAACTAAATGGGCTTTTTGGCCAAACCAATACATGTTGATTTCTTCTTTGAAGTTGACCACATTTATCAGGTTGGGTTCCTGTCAAATTCATCCTGTCTCCAGCTGCATCCTACACTACATTTTAACATTTAGCAAGAACAACATTTAGTGCCCTGGTCTATGTGATTCAGTTCATCAGGCATCATCCACAAAATGAAAGTTCACAGGTTGGATCCCTGATTGGGGCACATGCCTGGGCTGCGGGTTTGGTCATATATGAAAGGCAACCAACTGATATGTCTCTCTCACATACAAGTTTCTCTCTCTCTTTTTTTCCCTTCCTTTCCTTCTTTCTAAAATCAATCAATCCTTAAAAAAAGAAGCATTTAGTGAGAACTATCCATATCTCAAGACCTTTGTCCTATATAACAATATGTACAAGGCACTTAGTATAGCAGCTGACACACAGCAAGTGCACAATAAGTTACCTATTAGTACTTTCTGCTAGGCACTTAGAATCATTTTTTCATTCCCTCCTATCTCAAATTTCTGTACATCTCTTTCTTGAATCCAATCTTTGATGAAACATTCCTAACATTTCAAATGTTCCTTTTAATGCTGAACCTGCCTTTTACACTAAAAAGAATTGACTGGCCTAATTTTCACTGAAGCCGAGGACTCACTGCTTTTTCACTATACCTGTTCATTTTCCATCGCTAGATCAGAATTTTCATTTTCTGTTATCCACTAATTCTTTTTTTTTTAATTTTTATGACTAGCTTTATTTTTTTAAAGCATTTTATTGATTTATTTTTAGCAAGAGGGGAAGGAAGGGAGAATGAAAGGGAGAGAAACATCAATGTGTTGTTGCCTCTCACGTGGGGGCCTGGTTTGCAACCCAGGCATGTGCCCTGACTGAGAATCCAACCCGCGACCTTTTTGTTCACAGGCCAGCGCTCAATCCACTGAGCCACACCAGCCAGGGCTGTTATCCACTAATTCTTATAAAACTGCCAAATGCAGTGAAAGTGTGGTTTTCCATTTTTCTGTTCTTTTGAGAGTCATTATCTTTGGTTTCCATTTCTTCCATGGCAGAATCTTTTATTCAAGTGAGCATTTCTCTGAAGCTCAATATGTAACGGGTTAAAGCTCTGCTTTTGCTGAAACAGTATCTATGTGCATCTACAGAGTGCTCTGAAACATGTGCAGAGTTCCCAGGAACACAGTTTGAAAAGACTGGAAACCCACCCCACCAAAAAACAAAACAAAACAAAAAAAAAACCCTTAAATTTTATAATTGCAGAGCAGTTCCAAAAGCAAAGATGATGCTGCAGAAACCAAACTGTTGACTATTAGGAAGCATCATCATCATGTAACCACATGGAATTAAAAACCATGTGTTGAAAAAGACATTTTTTCCCCTATCGAATTGCGTTTGTACTTTTGTCAAAAAGAAAAAAATCAATGAACTTGCCCTGGCTGGTATAGCTCAGTGGATTGAGTGCAGGCCTGCAAACCAAAGGATTGCAGGTTCAATCCCCAGTCAGGGCACATGTCTGCGTTGTGGGTCAGGCCCCCGATAGGGGGCATGTGAGACAACCACACATTGATGTTTCTCTCCCTCTCTCCTTCCCTTCCCTCTAAAAATAAATAAGTAAAATCTTAAGGGAAGGAGGCCCCGGGGTGTGGAACAGGAATGCAGGTAGAACTGGGAAATGATTCTTTACTTTTGGGGAGGTCTCTGCCAACAGCAGGCACAGTGCGGGCCAGAAGGCCTCTCTGACACCTTTGTGTGTGCAACGCTGGCCTCTGGGGGACCAGAACACCTGTGGGTTTAATCCTACTTCTGCACCACAGATTCAAAGGATTTTTTTTTCCAAAGAAAGATGAGATTGGCTTGGTTCTTCATGAGCATATTTTATATTGTTCTCTTTCTCTTTTTCCTTGCTCATTTCATTTGGAGGAGGAAATCGGTGCTGTATTGGGGTTGTGAAGAACATCTACACTCAAATAGCTTACAGAAATAAATGTGGTGTTTTGTTTTGTTTTGTTTTTTTCAAACAAAGAGAAGTTGAGGACTCCTATATTATTTATCCAGAATGTCCTGAACACAGGAGCTTAGAATTTTGCTGCTCAGGTCCTCCGAGGACTTTCCTTCCCAGCCCTGCTGTTCCCTTGGCCTGACAGGCAGCCTTGGTGCCACCAGCTCCTAGTACATTTAATTTTTTTCTTTTACTGATCCTAGAGAGGGGAAGGGAGGGAGAAGGAGAGGGAAAGAAACATCAATGTGAGAGAAACATCAACCAGTTGCCTCTTGCATGAGCCCTTACTAGGGACCAAACCTGCAATCCAGGCATGAGCCCTGACTGGGAATCAAACCCAGCACCTTTCCATTTGCCAGGTGATGCCCAACTAACTGAGCCATACCAGCCAGGGCAGGCCCCAGTGCCTTTACCTCCCAACTCTAATGTAGTTCCTGTGTTCTTTTCCTTCTGTATGTGGGTCATGGTTTTATGGTCACTCCAGTTCCCCTATTTCTGTCTTTAAAAACATTTTTTTTTTTTTTGGAGTTCAGCTTTTTATTGAATGTGTTACAAAAAGTGTTTAGTGAAAAAGACCAAAGCCCATGTCATTGTCAGTCTCCTCAGATTCTTCTTTCTTTGCTTCCACTTTCTTCTCCTCAGCTGGGGCAGCAGTGGTGAAGGGAGCGGGACCTCCTGTTCGCGCAGCACTAGCAGCTTGGGGCGGGTTCTCAGCCCTTTACATTGCAGACGAGGGTTGCAATGTTGACATTAGCCAGAGCCTTTGCAAACAAGCCTGGCCAGAAAGGTTCAACATTTACACCAGCTGGTTTAATACGGACATTGATCTTATCCTCCATCACCAGTACTCTGTTGTTATGCAAGATAAGGGCTGAGTGGATGCAGGCCAGCTCCTGAGACAGGGAGCCCATGGTGTGGGTGAGTGCTGGGCCAGAGTTGCCTGGAGAGGTGCTAGTCACTGGGTGAAGTGAGGGCCTCATCCTGATGCAGCTACTGAGCACCTTAATAGCAGCTGGGGAAAGGGTCCCATTGCTGTATCTTTAAATATTTTATTTATTTTTTTAGAGAGAGGGTAAGGGAGGGAGAAAGAGATGCAACCAAACATCAATTGGTTGCCTCTCGCACATCCCCAACTGCGGACCTGGCCCGCAACCCAGGCATGTGCCCTGACTGTGGGAATCAAACCAGCGACCTTTTGGTTGTCAGGCTGGTGCTCCATTCACTGAACCACGCCAGACAGAGCCCATTTCTATCTCTTTAAATACGACTAAACTGGAAAGCCCAGATGGGACCTAATTCCATTTTGTTTTTGTTCTTTTATCATTTGTCCAGCTGCCTTCTAAGCCAAGATGCCAATCTCTGTATTTCTAAGGGCACCTATTCCCAGGAAAAGAATTAACACCAGTCACTTCCTTGAGACAGTACCTCCTGCTGTAAACTGCCACTCAGGAGACCAAAGTATAAAACTAAGGGCTGTTTAATCAGCATAGGATTAGGGCTGAAGCAGTAAATTGCCCCTATCTACTCTAGGGATACTTTTATCTAGGAAAGATATCATATCTGTATAAACACAAAACACCCTCTATGACCCTATAAGCAGGATACATTCCTGCTAACCTTTCTAAATTCTGTTTAAAAAAATTATAAATCATTTGCTGCCCTGGATGGGTAGCTTAGTTGGTTAGAGTTTCGTCCCAACAGACCAAGGTTGCGGGTTCGATCTCTGGTCAGGGCACCATACAAGAAGCAACTAAGGAATGTATAAATAAATGGAACAACAAATCCATGTTTCTCTCTCTCAACCAATAGCCACACTGGCTGCTCTGAAAGGCCATCTTTGCATTGTTCCTGTGTCTGCCCCTCCACTCGCTGGAGCCACTTCTGCCGTGCACCTCCTCAGTCGCCTCGGACTCTGGCAGCATTTTTGCCAGAGTCCTCGGACTTTCGCTTTTTTTTTTTAGTCTGCCGAATAGGGTCACCGGCATGCCCACCATGTCAGACGGGGCTGTGGATACCAGCTCCGAAATCACCACCAAGGACTTAAAGAAGAAGAAGGAAGTTGTGGAGGAGGCAGAGAATGAAAGAGATGCACCTGTTAATGGCATCGCTAATGAGGAAAATGGGGAGCAGGAGGCTGACAATGAGGTAGATGAAGAAGAAGGAGGAGGAGAGGAAGAGGAGGAAGAGGAAGGTAATGGTGAGGAAGAGGATGGAGATGAACATGAGGCTGAGGCAGCTACAGGCAAACGGGCAAGGGAAGATGATGAGAATAATGATGTTGACACGAAGGAGCAGAAGACCGATGAAGATGACTAGACAGCAAAAAAGGAAAAGTTAAACTTAAAAAAAAACGTGACCTATTCACCCTCCAGTTCCTGTCTCAGAATCTAAAACGTGGTCACCTCGGAGTCTGGCCGCCGGCATGCGGCAGGCAGCACCACCCACGGGTGACAAGTGCTCCCTGCCACCCAACCAAAACCACACGTGAATTTGCAACAGAGGAGGAAGAAGCCCAAAACTTCCAAGGCCCTGCTTTTTTTCTTAAAAGTGCTTTAAAAAGGAACACTTGTTTGTATTTTTTGTTTACATTTTACAGTTTTGTACATATTGTTAGGTGTCAGCCATTTTTAATGATTTTGGGATAACCAAACCAGCCTTTGGAGCTCTCTCTGCCCTACTTTCCACTTTACTTGTGGTGTGACCATGTTCACTATAATCTCAAAGGAGGGGAAAAATCCTTGTAAAAAAAGCAAAAGCAACAACAAAAAGTCAGTCTTATTCCAAGCATTCCAGTAACTTTTTGTGTATGTACTTAGCTGTACTATAAGTAGTTGGTTTGTATGAGATGGTTAAAAAGGGCAAAGACAAAATGTTGCTTTCTTTCCCCCCTTTTTTTGTCTATGAAGTTGCTGTTTATTATTCTCGGCCTGTTTAATGTATGTGTGAAACAATGTTGTCCAACAATAAACTGGAATTTCATTTTTAAAAAATCAGTAAAAAATTTTTTAAAAATTTATTTGCTGCTCTGACTGGTGTGGCTCAGTTGGCTGGATGTCTTCCCACGAAGCAAAAGGTCACCAGTTCGATTCCTGGTCAAGGCTCATGCTTAGGCTGCAGGTTTGGTCCCCAGTTGGGGTGAGTCCAGAGGCAACAGATCAATGTTTCTCTCTTGCATCGATGTTCCTCTCCCTCTTTTTCTCCCTCCTTCCCCACTCTCTAAAAATAGATAAATGAAATATTTTGAGAATAAAAAGTAAACAAATTTATAAAAAATGCATTTGCTATGCTTACACATGAAACGTTTCTAGAAGGACCTTCAAGAAACTAGCAACAGTGGAGGACGGGGTAAGGGAGATTTATTTTTCAGTGCTGTGACGCTGGTGCAAGCCACTACTGCCTCTCGCCTAGTTTACAGTAATGGTCTTGGCGCTGGTCCTCTGGCCTCCTCTGACCCGCCCCTGCAACAGTTCATTCACCATATAGCAACAAAATTGATTATTTTAAAAAATAAATCCAACGCTATTACTCTCCCACTGAAAGCCTTCCAATGGCCTCCTTCTGCAATTAAAATTAAATCCCAAGTTCTTACTGTGGATTCAAGCCTCTGAATGACCTGGCTTCTCTTTTCCCCCCTGACCTCCTACCCATTACCCTCTCTGCTCCAGCCACATGGACCTTCTTTTTGATCTTCAGACGCTCCAGTCCCATTCTTTCCTCAGGGCCTGGTCCTTGCTGGTTGCTCTGTCATGAATGCTCTTGCCTCAGATCAACACACAACTGGCTTCTTGTTATCATTCAAGTCTTGGTGCAATATTACCTCAGAGAATCGCCACCACCCCCAGACCATTCTGTTTACAATAGCTCTCCCCACACACACCAGCCATCATTTCCCCAGTACCTCGTTTTGTTTTTGTGATGCCACTTACTATTGAAGTTATTTCCTGAGTTGTCTGTTGGCTGTCTACCCTCCTTGGAATGTAAGTTCTTGAGGATAGGGCCCTGTCTCTCGTTTTATGGTTTTGTCCTCAGTGTTTAGGACGATACATGGCACTGAATGAATGAATGCAAGTAAAGGGCCTGTAGCAAGGTCTCAAGTCGTGGACTGCTTTATTAGCTTCCTATGGTTGCTGTAACTATCACAAACTCAGTAGCTTAAAACAATATGCAGTTATTATCTTCTAATTCTAGAGGTCCGAAATCTGAAATGGATCTTAAAGGGCTAAAATCAAGATGCTGGCAGAGCTGGGTTCCCTCTGGAGGCTCTAGGGGAGAATCTGTTTCCTTCTATGTCTGCATCCCTGGGCATGTGGCCTCTTCAAAGGCAACAGCATAGCACCTTCAAATTTCCCTATCTGACAGTTATGCTTTCCTCTTGTAAGGACTCTTGTGATTTCATTGGGCCAATCCATACAATGCAGGAGAATTTTCCCCATCTCAATATTCTTAACTTAGTCACATCTGCAAAGTCCCTTTTGCCATGCAAGGTAACATATTTACGGGTTTCATGGATTAGGATTTGGACACCTCCAGGGGCCATTAACCTGTTTATAATAACCATAAACCTCTATTCTGCAATCCGCCTGCATCAGCCAAACTCAAGCACTACACTTTCCTTGAAACTTTCTCAGACCCTGTCCTGTGCAGACACAGCCAGTTTTTCTTTTGTTCCTGTACAGTCCTGTAACAGTACTTACCGTACTTTGTAGAAATAAACAAATCTGTTTATCAGCCTCCATTAGGTTATGAGCCTTTTAGAGCAGGATCCAATGTTTCTTCACCTTTCTCTATCAACACTTAAAATGCTCGTTGATTGATTGAATCGCTCATTCATTCAAAAATATTTGTTAAAGGCCTATTATACTCCAGGTACTGGGGAATATAGTACTGAACAAACACAGATATGGTCTCTGCCCTTTAAAAGCTTACAATCTATCTGGAAAGAGAGACAATTAAACCATCAGTAACCATAAAAGAAGACCAATCATAGGGTAGGTGCAATGGGAGAACAGAGTGGGAGCCTGTGCTCTCGTTTGGAAGAGTCAGAGAGAACTGAGTCATGCCTCGGCGGCTGCCCAAGGATGAGAAGGAACTAGCCACAAGTGCACCCTGAGAGAACAGCTGGCAGCCCCACAACAGAAAACAAAATACAGAAGGCTGCTATCATCACTGCTGTTTAATATGTAGTTTCTTTTTGCAAATAGACTATAAGCTCTTTGAGGTCAGAAGCCCCCAAAATGTTTGTTTAGCATGGTATCCCCAATATCTTGAACATAGTTGGCTGTCAATATTTTTTTGTTGTTGTTTTCCTTTTTTGTCAAATATTTTAAAATTAATTCTAATTTTTAAAAATTTTTATTTATGTATTTATTTTTGCACATGCTGCTCTCATTCTGATATGCAGAGATCAGGTCAGACCACTGGGGAGGAGTAAGGAGGGAACACAGGAGGAGGTTGCCAGAGGCAGTGGTGTCTAGGACAAATTGGCTGAGAAGCCAAGTGCCTCCAGAGCTCATGGAATTATGGGCTAGAAGATTTGAAATAGAAGAAGGGCTCTTGTGCTCTCTGGCTGGCCTGCTGGCTCTCTCTCTTCTTCTTCAAGGACGCCTGGATGATCATGCTGCAGCTCCCCGTGTTTCCCAATGGATGGTATTTTGGATGGGAAGAAACTCCGGGGAACAGCCTAGGATTAGTCTGGCCTGGCAGAGGGCAGCAGGGTTATTCTTCTTTGGGTGTCCTAGAGGGGATGAGCTCTGAGGCAGAAGCCTGCCGTTCTTCCAAAGTTGTGTAGCTTTTGTATTTATGTTGTTTTAGTTTGTAAACTAACCCTATAGAAATAAGATAATTAAAGACTAACAGAGGGGCGGGGAATGATAGGAGAACTCAGGTGTTAAAGAGTTTAGCCTTAATTGGTAGGTTTAAGTGATTAAAGCTGTAACCAGTTGAAGAGTTTAGCCTTAATTGATAGGCTTAAATGCATGTGGAAAGCTGTTATTCCAAAATTGCGAAGCTTTTGAATAAAGACTCCTTTCCTTTATCACCAAACTTTTGCCTATGGAATTTTGCCTAGAGGGTGGCAGCGGGCAGCAGGACCCAACCGCTGTTCGCTAACAATTCCCTTCCCATTTTTATGACTGTAATATCTACATTGTCAAGACATAGGGCCCTTATATAGTATATTCTCTTTTAACCTTCATTTTGTCTCAATTCTATAAGTAGCTAATATATAATACTCCCTTGCAGCCCCTATATTGATGTCTCTCTAGGCAGTTTGGTTGCATTCCTTAGGAAGGGCTCATGGGAACAATATTCCCTGAGTTCCTGAATATTGATAACAATTTGTCTGTGTCCATTAGACTTGAAGGTCAGTTTGCTTTGGATCATGTGTTATTTTCCTGATTACTTAAAGTATATCAATTTCATTTTCTTCTTGCATAAAGCATTGGTGTCAAAAAGTCTGACAATTATCTAATTTGTCCTGTATGAGTTACATATTCTTTTTGTCTCAAAGGATTTTTTTCTTTAGAGTATAATAATTTTATTACAATATGCCATAGTGTTAACCATTACAGGTCAGTTTTTTTTAAAAGATTATTTATTTATTTATTTTTAGAGAAAGGAAGGGAGGTAGAAAGAGAGGGAGAGAAACATCAATGTGTGGTTGCATCTTGCATGCCCCCTACCAGGGACCTGGCCTGCAACCGAGGCATGTGCCCTGCACTGGGAATCAAACCAGCAACCCTTTGGTTCACAGGCGGGCATTCAATCCACTGAGCCACACCAGCCAGGGCTAGTCAGTATTTTTAAGTATCTCCTTGATTTTTCTAATACGTAGTTTGAATTTTTTTATTTCAGAAATGTTTTCTTTTTTTTCTTTTTTAAAAAATCCTCACCCAAGGATATATTTATTGATCCTAGAGAGAGAGGAAGGGGGAGGGGGAGAGAGAGAGAGAGAGAAATATCAACTTGAGAGAAACATTGATCACTTGTCTCCTGTTATGCACCCTGACCTTCTCAGACTAGGGACAGAACCTGCAACCTAGACATGTGCCCTGACTGGGAATCGAACCCCTGACCTCTCAGTTTACGGGTTCACATTCCAACCAACTGATCCACACCAGCCAGGGCATGAAGGTTTTCTTGAATAGTTGTTGGGTATTTTTTTTCCTATTTCTTTGCTTTGGTTTTCTTTTTCAGAGATTTCTGTTAAACTATTAGTGGAGTCCCTGAGGACACTCAAAAAAAGTTACCTAAGAAAAGAAAATGTGAGCCAAGGATTTTATATCTTCCTTGTCTAGTTAATGTTTGTCACTTTGCCT